ATATTATGCCCTTAAAGTAGCTTTGAGGGGTAAAATGGCACGTGTACACAACTTATTCCGAAATCTTTCGGGAAAAACAAAAAAAGACAGACAGATGGATACATAGAATAGATTATAAATAAATAATGATAATGATAAAAATATGGAAAATGTTATCACTTGGAGAATTTGAGTGGGTGAAGGGTATACGGGAGTTTTTAGTACCGTTTTTGCAACCGTTCTATAAACTGGAAAGTATTTCAAATTAAAAATTAAAAGTTTGATGATGGTGAAGAGGCAATGCAGAGCAGCCTAAGTGCAGGAAAGAGGGTGGCTCTAGCCACAGTGACCAGGAGGAGGAAGAGGGAAGGATCCTGAGCATTGTGAGGGCAGTTCTGACAAACAAGGCACTGTTTCCTGACAGACAGGTGAAGACAGGAGACACTGCTTCTTTTTTTAAAAGTGTTAGCAATCAGCAAAATAAATCCTGTTCTTTTTGCCAAGTAAAATAAAGTTTGGATTTTCTATATCAAGACAAACAGTGTCTGATCACTGGGGATATTTATCAAGGACTTGCTGTTCACAAACGATGAAACCTCCTCGTGGTAATGGCTGGATTTGAGAAGCACACATCAGCGGAGCTGTTGTTCCTCTCTTGGGAACACGGCAGATGGAGTCTGAAGGGCACAACCAGTGGAATGGAAAGATGCAATTCTTGTATTTATGTCACTTAGTGCAGCCACCCAGACAGGTTCCCAGTAGCCTGCCCTTTGTACAGACTTAAGACTAGAACCATAGGTGAACATAAAACCATTCAGCAAAATGATACTCATCAGCAAGCGCTAAAGAAGGGTGTTCACAATATATTTGAAAACAGAAGGGCCCCTCCCTCTGTTAATGCAATCCTGGGATGAAATGGAATTCTCTATTTTAACCCTGGCCATCTTCACACAGTAGATCCAGGAGATGAGGGTTTGATCCCCGGGTCGGGAAGATCCCCTTGAGGAGGAAATGGTAACCCACTCCAGTATTCTTGCCTGGAAAATGCCATGGACAGAGGAGCCTGGCAGGCTACAGTCCATGGAGTCGCAAAAGAGCTGGAAATGACTGAGCAACTAAGCACACACACACGTCTTCACACTCAGTATTTTAGAAAAGGCAAAAACCTCAATTCAAAGAAGTTAAACATTTGCCCCAAGATCAAACAATTAGTTGGCAGCAGAGCCGAGATTTGAAGCAAAGTCTTTCCAGCATTAGGCTTTTGGTTTCTTTTAATACTCCCCATCATTTCCTGTCCTATTTCCTAAAAGGAGGAAACATGGGCCTCAGTAGACACTGACCTCATACTCAGCAACAGATCCAATTTGTGCCAATAAAACGCGTGGAGAAGTTCGCTGGGGTTTTCCAGGGAAATTCATTCTTAGTCTTACTGGAATGTATGTAGAAGCAAGGCCTTCTGTCCAGCCTGGTCTCTGATGAGAAATCAGAGGGTAGTCCCGGCATCCTCAGACTACAAGTGTGAGCTGCCCCAGGATGGAATGATGCATGGATGGCAGAATGGAGCTATGGAACAAGAGATGCACCAGGAATGTGTGTTCTTTACCCTGTTTCTAACCACTGGTGTTCTGGACCCTCTCTTGCTTTTATAAGACTGTACTTCCATAATTATTGCCGGTTTTCTTTCTCTTCATTATCAATATCTCCCTCCATCCCAGAAATTGCAAACATGTGTTGGATTATTTCAGATTAAAACAAAATGTGAGACTTCCCTGGTGGTCCAGTGGTTAACACTTCATCTTCCAATGCAGGGGATGCAGGTTCAATTCCTGGTCAGGGAGCTAAGATCCCACATGCCTTCAGGCCAAAAAAACCAAAACATATAAGACAGAAGCAATATTGTAACAAATTCCATAAAGACTTTAAAAATGGTCCACATGAAAAAAATCTTTAAAAAAAATTTTTAAAACAATTATTATCCTTTGACTCTATTCTCTTCCTGCTACAACTCTTTTTCTCTCTTTTCCTCATACAAAACTTTGTCTGTACACTCTCTCCTTCCACTCATGTTTTAATCCATTCTAGTTTGATTCCTAATGTCACTATTCTCTTGGACTTTCTGCTGTCAATTTCACCACTGACCTTCACCTTCCCAATGTCAATAGGCATTTCTCTGTTTTCATTTCTCTAGACTTTCCAGCGGGATGTAAATGAGCTGAATATCTTCTTCTTCTTGGAATACGTTCCTATCTTGCCTTCCAGGACTCCATGCTACCCTGGCCTCTCCCCTTCCTCACTGGCTGCTGCTTCTCCATCCCCTACACTGACATTTCCTCCTCTACATTTCCAAATGTGGGATTATCTCAACTCTTGGTCCTAGGTCCTCTACTCTCCTCTATTTATTCCATCTCTTCCTCTATTCATTCAACACTCAGTCAATACTTATTGAGTATCTACTATATGTCAGACTCTTTTCTAGGCACTGGAAATAGAGCACTGAATAAATAAACAAATCTGTCTTTATAAAGCATACATTCCAGTGGAAAAAAATGAATAAAAACTAATAAGTCTACAGTATAATGTAAGTAGTGATAAGTGCTATGGAGAAGAATAAAGCAGTGCCAGCGACAATTATGCTTTTTAAAAATATGAAGGCTGGAGGAGGATGCTCTAAGGAGGTGACATTTACATCTAAGAAAAGTGGAGTGTGTGTGAGAGAGAAGTTAAAGCTGATTCCAGGTTTCTGGTCTGAGTGAAAGAAAGAAGGATGGTGCCATTTAGTGAGATAAGAAATATCGGGGGAGGAAGAGATTTGGGAGGAGAAAATCAAGAATTCTGGTTTGGAGGTGTTGATGAGTCACATGTCCATATTATGCAGTTATTTGGATAGGTCAGATTTCTCTTGTGGATGATTCCTTCCTCAGGTCTTAAGACTTCTCTGACCACTCCGTCTCTGAGAACGTCCCACTTGCCACCTCCCCAACCCACAGGATCTCTATCACCCTCCATAATTTACTGTCTTCATGATAGTCACCTCAAACTATAATAACAAAATTTGGCTTTGGTTTGATACCCTCACAAAAATTAACTACTGGGAGAACAGGAACTTTGTCTTGTTTATAGCTTTGTCCCCTGACCTTGGTACCATTCTTACTCAGAGTAAGAACTCAACATCTAATTGCTGAAGGAAAAAACAAAGGGTAGGTCAGTCCTCTGCAGAAGTCAGGACATCTTGGCCCTTGTCTGAGCCCAGCTAGTCACTGGCTTTGGACCTTCTGGCTTTGTCACTTCTGTGGTATATTATCAGTTTCAGAAGTCATTTGATAAGCTGATTTCTAAGAGCTAATTTGTCAACTTTGAAATTATGCTTAAAATCCAAGATTTTCATCTATTTATTCTAAGCAAATTGGTACCCTGAACTTCATTTTGGTAATAACAATGTTGAAGTGCGTTTTGATGAAGTGTGAGTGCAAACTACTGCTTCTGGGGAAATTCACCATGGGGATGCTGAACAGTTCTATAACCCCACCTGGGCTGCCCTAAATCCTCAGTCTCAGGTGGCCATTCATTCTGCTAGCTTCCACTCCAGGATCAGGGAGAAACAATTAGAAAGAAAGGAGAGTAAATGAAGGAATTCATTTTATGGAACATCATTGAGCACCTGTTCACTAGTACAGTTCAACTCTTTCCAGGGATGCTAGCATATTTCAGATGTATTTAAGGGTTATTTGGATGTTAAGGCATATCGCCACAAAACCTGGTGAGGTAGGTATTAACTCCCCCTTTCACTGATTTCCAGGAGATGAACTGATTTGCCATAGTACAGACAAGTGACAAGCAGCGGATAAAAGATTGGAATCTACATCACCCCCAACTTCCTATTGCTCTCCATCATTCCATAGATGCCTGCAGTCAAGGGCATACCCTCTTGGGTATAATCAGTTTTCAGTGGACTCAGGTCTATTTGTTGAATCAACAAATGAAAATAAATTGGATTAAGAAACCCCCTCTTAGAACCCTGTTTTCAAAAACCTGTCAGTTTACATTTCAACTCATCTGGGAAATCCAATAGGATTAATTACTATATACAGGGCTTTCCCAGTGGCTCAACAGTAAAGAATCTGCCTGCAAGACACACTTGATCCCTGGACTGGCAAGATCCCCTGGAGTAGGAAATGGCAACCCACTCCAGTATTCTTTCCTGGAAAATTCCATGGACAGAGGAACCTGGTGGGCTACAGTCCATGGGGTCTCAAAGGGTCAGACACGACTGAAATGACGGTGCACCATACATATAGCTAGGTAGAAATAAAGCCACAAATATCACCTTGTTTACAGAGATAGGAATGACTTCCCTTCTGAAATAGCCCGATTTCCCAGGGCTCCTTCTGGAGAAGGCAGAAGAGGAGGCCAGGAGTATTTACTGCCCACATACCACCCACTGGAAACTCCTTTGCTTCCTCTCTTTTCTTCTTCCTCACCCATTATTGAAGACTCCACTTTCAAAAAGATCCTGTTCTTTCTTCATGGGAAAGGAATTCTTTTCTCACCAAGGTATCCGTGTGACAGAAGGTTCCCACCCTGAGGTGTGTGTGCGCGAATGAGAACAGGAACCCACACCACACCAAACATGGAAAGCTGTCTATGTGCCTCTTGGCATTGGGCATGATTCTGAAGGAATCACATTTTTTTTTAAAAACCCGTTAAGTCGTTTGGTACTGCTATATTAATAAATTAGGAGTGACAAAACAACGCAGATAGAGTGTGGTTCTTCTTCCTTTCGTCCAGCCACAAGCCAATCTTTTATGGGCGAGGGGGGAAGCCTGGAAAAAAGGATTGAGTGTTTTGACTAGAGGAGGGAGTCATAATTTTATCCTTCCCTACCAATAAACGATGACAAATCCGGACATCTAAGAATTAAAACGGCAACAAAGCAAGAACATGATTAGAAAAATAAATAAATAACATTTATTTTGTACAAAGGGGCTATCAGTGCCCGAGAGACTCCGCGGCAGAGCGCGCCCTCAGAGGAGCAGGAGGGGGCCCAGCAGCAGCTCGCCCTGGCCCAGCAGGCGGCCCCGCTCCAGTCCGCGGCCCCGGTTCTCGGCCTTGACGCGCACGGCCAGGCGGCGCACCTCGTCCTCCGAGAGCCCGTCCAAGCACAAGTCCTGCTCCAAGACGGCCCTGCGACTCCGCCGGACCACGGCGCCCCGCGGCTTCAGGACGAAGCTGACTCTGCAGCCTACAGGGGCGCGGGGCTCGGCTGCTCCTCCAGTCGGGCCCTCGGCACGGAGCAACCGGACGCGGAGGCGCCCGCTGGCCCTACTGTACTCAGCGGCCAGGCGCAGGGCGCCCCCGGCGCGGCCCAGAGTTACGGTGCCCTCGGCCTCCAGGCGCTCGGGACGCGGGTCGCGATGCGACGAAAGGGATGGGATGGGGACCCGCGTCGGGGACTCGGAGCTGGAGCGGCGTTCGTCCTCGTCATCATCTTCCCCGTCCCCGCTGGAGACGGAGCGGGCGCGGGTCAGGCCTCGGCTCCTCCCGGCCCGCAATGCTCGGCGCAGCAGCCCCTCCGGGGCGCGTAGGAGGCGGCGGCAGCGGGGCGGCGGGGCGAGCGTGTCCAGGGATGGGCTGGGGCTACCGTGGGCTTTGGGGGTCGCAATGGGCGCTCTCGCCCCGGGCGCCATGGGGTGGTCTCCACCGCCGCCCCCGTAGGTGTGGGCCCGGGGACGGGGCGCGGGCGGGAGCGCGGCGGCGCCCGGGCCCCCGAGGAAGAGCGACTCCTTGCGGCGGGTGTGCGGGCTCTCGAGCAGCGCGCAGAAGCCGTAGGCGGTGCGCGCCCGGGGCAGGTGCGGCAGTGAGAGTGCGGCCTGCGAGCGCGGGTCCCAGTCCGTGCGCCCCGCGCCGTCGTCGGCTCCTCGAAGCCAAAGGTCCGGCTCAGCAGCGCACCTCCGGGGCAGCGCGGCGGCCGAGGGCGAGGACTCGGGAGCATAGGGGGTGGGCAGCCGCGGCGGGATGAAGAACTCGGGGATGCGGTTCGGGGTGAGCACATTGGAGAAGGCAGGCTCCAGAGGCGCGCTGCCCGCCGCCGAGGCGCGGAGTTTCCCGAGGAGCCCCATCCTCCGAGGCTGGGGCTGGGAGTGGCGGGAAGAAGCGCTCCTGCGGGGGAGAGAAGCGAATGAGTTTGGGGGCCTCTCGAGATTGGCTGGACACCTATCCAGAGCCCTCGGGGGTACCAAGCGCCAACAATCCCCTGCCAGTCCGGCGAGCTCGCGCGCGCCCACAAAACCACCCGCCTTCCATTCATTGGTACTAATTAAACAAAGTAGAAATCAGACCTGCTGCGTCTTTTTCAGTTCCTCTGGTTCGTGAGTTTCAAGTTGCCTTCTGGTGCCTGCTGACGCTCCAGCTTCAGCACTGTAGCCGGGACAGGGGCGCTCCCCCTTATATTGCAGCCTGAGTCCCGCCCAGCTGGTCAGGAGTCCAACCCCTGGAGGCGCCGGCCGGCTCGCCCTTCCGGCGGCCCCTTCTCGCCAGAGCCGCTGGGGTTCGCGTGGGAGCAAAGCCGTAGCGAGAGCCAGCCCCCTTCTGCTCAGCCCTGGGGCCTGCATCCGCTCTGCGTGCAGGGAACCTCTCGCACTGGCCTGCGAAAGGCCGGTGGAGGGAGGACGCCTGGGTCGGCCTGCCAGGAAGAATTGGCAGCTGAAAATGTTGGCGGCTTCTCGGAAAAGGTGAAGGATAAGGAAGCAAGAAGTTCTTTTTAGCTGGGAGCTAAATACTGTCCCCCCCACCCCCAACCCAGCATGTGAACTACACGCACTAGGGGCTTCTGTTTTACTGCCCCCATGAACCTGCAGTCTGTAGACCAGTATAGTTCCCATGGTACTCGTGGACTTATTTATGCTTCTGTCTCCCTCTGCTAGACCTTGGCCTTCTTAAAGAGTATCGTTGACTGCCTCAGTCAATGCCATATATGTTGGTGGAGTGGGTGAATTAAAGTATGCAAAAATCTCTGAATGACTACCAGCTCTGCCTGTCAACTTAAATATTTGTTTGTTTGTCTTGGTTTCGGCATGTGGGATCTAGTCCCCTGATCAGGGTTGGAACCCCGGGTCCCAAGCGCTGGGAATGCAATCTTAGCCACTGAATCACTAGGGAAGTCCCTGCCTATCATCTTGATTGTCACAAATGATGGGTTTTTGGCTCAGGCCCTAAACATGACACGATATTTCAAAGCTGCCCTTTTCTCTCTGCTCCATCATGAAGGTATCCAGTTAGAAAGCATCTAACAAAAAAATCCATGTTGCCTCTACCTCGACCTCACTCCCAACCTTCATTTTCTAAGATGAGAAAACTGGAAGTCCAGTGGGACTTGAAATCCTGTAAAGGGTTCAACAGAACTAATTAACGGCAGAAGCTGGAACTAGCAATTTCCTGTCGGTTTGCTTTTGCACGTGATACTTCCTGTTATCTGAAATGCCCTTCTCTGCTTTTTTTTTTTTTTTCCTCTATAAAGAACTCCTTTTGTTTTACTTTAGCCAGACATCAACCTGTTCAGAATCCTCTGCTCGACTCCTTCGCTACAGTTCTCCATGTCTCCTTATTCCCTTAATGGGCATTCAATGTACCACCACTGTTGCGTTCACCAGCCTGCTGTGGAATTTGTGGTTGACAAGTTTGTCTTCTCTACTAAACTAGGAGTTTCTTGAGGGCAAGGACCATGGTAAGACAACCAGAGAGGAGTCTGTGGGACCTACTATCAGTATATGTAAAATGAAGAGAAGGGCTACTGTCTGGAACCTGGGTCTGCCTCCATCCCAAAGCAGACCTCTCTAAGGGACAAGCCTGGCTGTCTTATTCATCTCCTCCACTTTCAGTGCCTGGACATACAGTGCCGGGCAAATAATAAGTGCTCAGTAAATATTTGATAAATTATATTGTGTTGTATTTAGCTTGATCTGGTCTTATGACTGTCATGTGCTTTTAACCACATCTCTCTCTGCTCTGTTCAATTTCTTTCTCACAACAAACCAGTGCGGTGGACATTGCTTCTGTTTACGATATAAGAAACTGAGGCTCATCAGTCAAATTATGAATCACAGCCCATGTATTGTAAATCCTAGCATTTTGCTAATTTCTTCCTTCTCTCTCCTTTCTCCTTCCCTTCATCCACTCAGCTCAGTTTCATTCACCGAGTTCACTATGTGTCAGAGATTGTGTGTATGTTTTGTATTGCACTTAATATCCAGAATTTTTATTCTTAAAGCAACTCAGTCTCCTAAGTAGTTTCCATTATCTTTACTTTGGATTAAGTACCACTATTTCCAAATTTTTAAAGGTAAGGAAAGTGAATGTTTTCCATAAATGAATAGTTAATACTTTCTTTTAAAAGTGATCACTGTTGTTCTGTTTTTTGAGAGGGCAAGCGTGAATCAATATGCAGCCACGGAGTAGTAACCCTACCTGCTGAAGTCAAACTTGCAAGCAGAAGAATTCCCAGAGGTCTCCGACTGGATCTTTCCAATTGATTCTTCAGGCCAGTCTGCAAATTCTTGGGTGAATGGCCTTCTCTAAGCATAGCACACTTGCATGATATCCTGCCCAGGAGCCAGCTCACTTCCAATGAGACCTCAGTGAAAATGGCTTTCCCTCTCCTGAAGGTCTTTGTGACATGAACACACAGAACTTCTGTCAGTGAGTAAATCAACTAAAAGCAGGACATGAGATTTGAGAAATTGTGCTACCAGTATAGTCATCTTCATGGAAAAACATAAGCACATCTATAAACAAGCTCTATATAGAGGGTTTTCTAAAATAATTAGTTTTCCATAGATCAGTATTCTACAGAAGAGAACTAAGATACAGGACAATTAAATTACTTACACTGGGATATACTTCAGTCATTCATTCATCTAAACCAATAGCTACAGGCTGAGTCCAGAGTTAGAGGCCTGTTATCCTTCCTGATTCTTAAATCACAATAGTAGAAAGTGAAAACCCCCTCCCCCAGTGGAAACTCTGATCACACCCATTATTTCATTATTTTGTGACGTAAGGCAGAAAGCAAAGAGGAATTAAAGACCTTCTTGATGAAGGTAAAAGAGGAGAGTTAAAAAGTTGACTTAAAACTCAACATTCAAAATGCAAAGATCACGGCATCCGGTCCCATTGCTTCATGGCAAATAGATGGGGAACAATGGAAACAGTGACAGACTTTATTTTCTTGGGCTCCAAAATCACTGCAGATGGTGACTGCAGCCATGAAATTAAAAGACGCTTACTCCTTGGAAGAAAATCTATGACCAATCTAGACAGTATATTAAAAGAAGAGACATTACTTTGCGTACAGAGGTCCATATAGTCAAAGCTATCGTTTTTCCAGTAGTCATGTATGGATGTGAGAGCTGGACCAAAAAAAAGACTGAGCACCAAAGAACTGATGCCTTCAAACTGTGGTGTTGGAGAAGACTCTTGAAAGTCCCTTGGGCTACAAGGAGATCCAACCAGTCAATCCTAAAGGAAATCAATCCTGAATATTCATTGGAAGGACTGATGCTGAAGCTGAAGCTCCTATACTTCGGCCACCTAATGGGAAGAACTAACTCATTAGAAAAGGCTCTGATGCTGCAACGATTGAAGGCAGAAGGGACGACAGAGGATGAGATGGTTGGATGGCATCACCTACTCAACGGATATGAATTTGAGCAAACTCCAGGAAATGGTGAAGGACAGGGTGTGCCGCAGTCCTTGGGGTCCCAAAAAGTCAGACACAACTGAGTGACTGAACAACAGCAACAAAGAAATACAAAAGGTTCACCATCATCTTTTATTCAGGCTCTGAAATTGTTAAAGAAACTATACCATTAATGATATTAATGTTTACCAAATACTCACTACGTACTAGGGTCTTATTTAATCCCCAAACAACCTTGTAAAGAAGGTAGAGATTTAGAAACTGCAGCTTGTAGAGAGTAAACAATTATCCAAACTCTCCCATCTAGTAAGAGTGGCGCTGGGACTCAGATTCAGATCAATTCGGGTCATTCCCTGTGTGCTTAAACTGCTTCACTATATTGCCACCCTCGAAGCTGCTTTTCCTGAACCCATCTCCTCTCTAGGTAGTTAGACAAAAGGAAAAGAAAGCCTTGTCCCAAGACCTTGCATTGAAACTACACACATTATTGACGATACCAGCACCTAAAAGATTAAAACATGCAACTGTCCTAAGCAGGAAATCACTAGCTATACCACTTGTAGACAGAATCCCTGTCTTCTCGGGAAGTGTACTGATGCTCTGTATTTATACCATACCTTGGTTCCAGAATAGGATTTGCCGTGATCCGCATAATAAAGACCCAGAGAATTTATTGTCAGCTAAAGCCTGACATGGTGAAAATGGAAAAGACATGCAATTAGCTAAGAACCCTGAGTGAAGTCACCAATTGACACTACCTATGACCTCAAAATGGGAAGAACAAGGTGTGAAAGCAGTTAAAGAAGCTCCCATGGGGAGCTGGGGGTAATTTTATTTTTTCTCAATCAAAGTATAGTTGTTTTATAATGTTGTGTTAGTTTCAGGTATACAGAAAAGTGATCATATATATATATACTTATATATATATTGTTTTTCAATTGTTTTCCATTAACAGTTATTTCAAGATATTGAATATAGTTCCCTGTGCTATACAATGGATCCTCATTGTAGTATTAACTGTTCATTTCCACCCTAAGTTAGTATATTCTTTCCTGTGGTAGCTGTGTGTTTTTTCTGGTGGTGCTTCTCTTAGTTATTGCTTAATTCAAGTTATGTACAGTGTCATTAAAGTTATTTCAATCTCTGTAAGTCAAATAGTCTTTTAAAATCTTAACCATGTATTATATTTACATTATGATAGTGATTATGATATCTTCATATTAAATCAAGTACTTGATATGACTTATTAAAACTGGTGAACACAGTAATTAATGCATAGCGGCTTATACTTCCTTATGGGCTGTCTAGAAAATAAACTCTTCTAGTCTTGATGGCCAGTCAAATGCTTGATCCTGGGTAGTCACTGATTTATCTGTCTTTTCTCTATAAACAGCAACCAAATTTTTAAGTATTCCATTCTCTTTCCTATCACTACTTTAATGCTGACTAGAAGTAACATTCCTGTTGAAGACTTATTTTTGTTCTTTGTCCATGGTATCTAGATTCCATTCACATTTTCTTCAATTTTTCTTTTCTAGGTTTTAGAAAAAAATGCATTTCATGTATGTAAAGACTAAAGCATAATATAGTGAACACCTGTTTACCCACCAACCAGCTTAAAAAAAAAACTATTTTCGAAACAGTTAAAGCTCCCTAGGCAACACTTTTTAACCACATTCTTGTCTCTTCCCCAGATTTAAGTACTATCTTGAATTTGGGGCTATTGTTCTCTCATTTCTCTGCCTCTCTCTCCCCCACCCCTTTATTTTGTTTATTTGTTTATTTGGCTGTGCCAGGTGTTAGTTGCAGGCATGCAGGAAGATCTTTGATCTGCATTGCAGGATGTGAGGTCTAGTTCCCCAACCAGGAATCAAACCTGGGCCCCCTGCATTGAGTGAGGCATCTTAGCCACTGGACTGCCATGCAAGTCCCTCCCCTCCTCTTTATTAGTTTTATTGCCTATACACATGTGGGCTTCCCTGGTAGCTCAGTGGTAAAGAGTCTGCCTACCAATGCAGGAGACTTGAGTTCAGTCTCCGGGTTTGGAAGGTCCCCTGGAGAAGGAAATGGCAATCTGCTCCAATATTCTTGACTGGAGAATCCCATGGACAGAAGAGCCTGATGCACTACAGACCATAGGGTCAAAAAGAGTCAGAAAACTTAGAGACTAAATAATAACAATGTATATACATATTTCTCCCTAAAAATTATTTTTATAAAAATTATAATTCTAAACATTCTTTCACAGTTTGCTTTTTTTCACTCTACATTGTAAGATTTATGTACGTGCACATGTGGACCTCTAGTTCATTCATTGTTACTGATATACAGCATTCCATTGTGTAAATGTGCTTCATTCTCTTGCTGATGGCTGCTCGGATTGTTTCCAGTTTTTCCACAGCTGGTATGAGCTCAGGTATACCGGTCTTCTCAGTCACCTGTGCAAAGATTTTCTAGAGTATATCTCTAGTGTATTTGCACCTTCAGGTTTAATATGAAATCACTTTCCTCACAGCAGTATATAAGATTTTCTATTGCTCCCATCCTCAACTACATGTAGTATGATCAGATTTTTTAAAAAAGAATTTTATTTTTGGCTGTGCTGGGTCTTTGTTGCTGTGTGGGCTTTTCTCTAGTTGTGGTGAGCAGGGGCTACTCTCTAGTTATGGTGCCCAGGCTTCTCATTGCAGTGGCTTCTTTTGTTGTGGATCACGGGCTCTGGGGCACTCTCGCTTCAGCAGTAGTGGTGGTTCCAACGACCTAGAGCACAGGCGCTTAGTTGCTCCGCGGCATTTGGGATCCTCAATATATGGGATTGAACCCGCGTCCCTCCACTGACAACTGGGTTGTTTACCACTGAGCCACCAGGGACGCCCCAGATTTTAAAATATTGCTAATATGGTGAGTGCTGTGGGCTGAATTGTGCCCTCCCAAAATTCACATGTGACATCCTAACCTGTAGTGGCTCAGAATGTGACTATATTTAGGGACAAGATCTTTTAAAGAGGTTGTTGTTGTTGTTGTTCGGTGTCTCAGTCATGTCCGACTTTTTGCAAACCCAGGGACTGCAGCATGCCAGGCTCCCCTGTCCTTCACTATCTCCTGGATTCGCTCAGATTCACGTGCATTCGGTTGGTGATGCTGTCTAACCATCTCATCCTCTTCTGCCCTCTTCTCCTTTTGCCTTCAATCTTGCCCAGCATCAGGGTCTTTTCCAATGAGTTGGCTCAGGTGGCCAAAGGACTGCAGGTTCAGCTTCAGCAACAGTCCTTCCAATGAATAGTCAGGATTGATTTCCTTTAAGATTGATTGGTTTGGGGACCCACCTCGCGACGGGCCACTGCTGCAGGCAGTCAGGTGCTGGCGTGTGCAATCGAAGTTCCGGAGGCCCGGGCCATGAGAATGTCACCATGCCTAAAGCACCAAAGGGAAAAAGTGTAGGACAAGAAAAAAAAGTCATCCATCCATATAGTAGAAAAGCAGCTCAAATTACAAGAGAGGCCGACAAACAAGAAAAAAAGGAAAAATTGAAGAATGAAAAGGCGTTGTGTCTCAGCCTTATTGGTGAAAAACTGCAGTGGTTTCAAAATCACCTTGATCCCAAAAAAGTAGGATATTCAAAAAGAGATGCTTGTGAACTAATTGAAAGATATTTGAATCGATTCAGCAGCGAGCTGGAGCAGATTGAGTTGCGGAACAGCTTCAAGGACAGGCAGGGCCGGAGGCACTGCTCTCGGGAGGCGGCCATCAGGCAGACCCTGGAGCGGGAGCGGTGGCAGTACCAGGCCCACGAGCTTCCAGACTTTTTAAATGCAGATAATCTGAAAACTTTTAGGGAATGGGATTTTGATCTGAAGAAACTGCCAACATTAAAATGAGAAAAGTCTGTGCTAGCGATGTGGTGCCCAAGAAGTGTAAGAAGAAAGCTGTGACAGCTGTAGACAGAGATTTAGGGGAATTGTAACTGAAAGATGAGTCAAGTGACACAGACGAGGAAATGACTGCGGTGGCCTAAGTGTCTTTGCTTGGGTGGAAAATAAATAATTTGAGAACTTCAAAAAAAAAAAAAGATTGATTGGTTTGATCTCCTTGTTGTCCAAGGGACTCTCAAGAGTCATCTCCTACACCACAATTTGAAAGCATCAATTCTTTGGCACTTAGCCTTCTTTGCCATTCAAGATTGCTGGTTTAAAAGTGTATGGCAAGAGCCACTACAATTGTAAAGTAATTAGCCTCCAACTAATAAAAACAAGTGGAAAAAAATAATAAAGGGACTCTCAAGAGTCTTCACCAGCAAAAAAAAAATAAATAAAATAAAAAATAAAATAAAAAGGTATTTGAGGTTAAATGAGGTCATTAGAGGGGGCCATAATCTGATGTGACTGGTATCCTGATAAGAAGAGATTAGAACAGACATGCACAGAGGGAAGACAATATGAAGAAGATTGTCACTTGCAAGCCAAGGAGAGAGTCCCTTAGAAGTCAACAGAACATCTGGATTTGGACTCCCAGCTCCGGATCTGTGCAGAAATAAATTTCCATTATTTAAGCCCTGTGGTCTGTAGTTCCTTGTTATGGCAGCCCTATACTAATACAGTGATTTTATTTTTATTTTTTTTCTGTTGGCAAAGTAATGTCTCTGCTTTTTTTTTTCCCAATTATTTTAATTAGTTGGAGGCTAATTACTTTACAGTATTGTAGTGGTTTTTGCCATACATTGACATAAATCAGCCATGGATTTACATGTGTTCTCCATCCTGAACCCCCCTCCCACCTCCCTCCCCATCCCATCCCTCTGGGTCATCCCAGTGCACCAGTCCTGAGCACTTGTCTCATGCATCCAACCTGGACTGGCGATCTGTTTCACACTTGATAATATATATGTTTCGATGCCGTTCTCTCAGATCATCCCACCCTCGCCTTCTCCCATACAGTCCAAAAGTCTGTTCTATACATCTGTGTCTCTTTTTCTGTCTTGCATATAGGGTTATCGTTACCATCTTTCTAAATTCCATATATATGCGTCAGTATACTGTATTGGTGTTTATCTTTCTGGCTTACTTCAATACAGTGATTTTAAAATAGTAAATTATCATGCTAATTTGCATTTCCGTCATTGATAATTGAGGTTTAGCAATTTTGCTCTTCTATAAAATTGCTTTAAATTAAAAATATATATATATCATTGTGTCATTTCCTTCTCTTATACATATATACACACATTGAACACTACTTCCTGATCACTTTTAAGTACTGTACCTATCTCCCCTGTGACTTGCTTTTCATATTTTTATGCTGTCTTTTGAGAAATAGAAAACAGAAATTGTCTCCTAATTCTGGAGGCTGGAAGTCTAAAATGAAGGTGTCAGCAGAGCCGTGCTTCCTCTGAAACCTATAGGAAGTCTCCTTTCTTGCCTCTTCCCGGCTCCTGGTTACTTGCCGGAAGCAGGGAGGCTCCTTGGCTTACAGCGGCAACGCTTTAGTCTCTGCCTGCCTCTGTGCGTGGTATTCTCCCTCCCGTGTCTGTGCCTCTGCGTTTCACCTCTTCTCAAAAAGACACAAGTCTTATTGGATTAAGGGTCTACCCTACTCCCATATGACTTCATCTTAACCAATTACATCTGTAAACATGCTATTTTTCTCAATTTGGCCACATTCTGAGGTACTGGAGTTAGATCTTCCACAAATACTTTGGGGAGAAACAATTCAACCCATAACAATGACTGAATCATACCATGTCTGATCCATCTGTCAGTGACTTCTGGGGAATTTCAGATTCTAAAACAGGAAAAAATGTAGGAATCCCCATAAAAATTGAACCACCCGTTATTCCCAGCACAGGAACCGGAGGTCACTTCCACACTTCTGCTTCTTGGGTAGAGCTATTTATAATTGTTGCCTCTTCAGGGGAAACATGAAAGTTAGCCAATTCACTTAAGGCTCTGCCACTTTCCTGAGGCTGCTTCCAACTGGCTCACAACCAACTGTTGCTGTTTAAAGAATAAAATCCGCTCATCATGAATAAGGAAATGACTGAATAAAGCTTGGAATTTCTAGGAAGGAAATAAGTTGTAGAGCATTTTTCCCCCACGTGGGGAGCTGTGGAGCCACACAAGTACAGAGTAGAGCATGGAAGCGCCCAGGCCAGCTCAGGGCAAGGGGTGCCACAAGGGGACTGGCCTGCCTCCGGGGAGAAGACTGCTAAGGCCTGGGCAGGGCCTCCCCACCTCCTTGTCAGCTTTTTGTCAGACCAGAGGCCTGGGATCTTGGTACAGTCCAAATGGTAAGGAAAGAGCCATGCATGCATGCTAAGTAGCTTCAGTCGTGTCTGCCTCTTTGTGACCCCATGGACTGTAGCCGCCAGGCTCCTCTGTCCATGGGGTTCTCCAGGCAAGAACACTGGAGTGCGCTGCCATGCCCTCCTCCAGGGGATCTTCCCAACCCAGGGATTGAACCTAGGTCTCCCACATTGCAGGGTGGATTCTTCACCATCTGAGCCACCAGGGAAGCCTGGAAAGAGCCATACAGAAGGCGGGATAGAGAACACTTTCAGTTGTCTTCTCAAGAAAGAAGAAAGTCAAGCCAGATCTCACTTAGAAGGGAAATATGACATTTCCCTTCCCACAACACACCAGTATTGTGGAGAAATCTGTAATGATTACTATTAGAACTAAATAGTTGTTTCTGTAAAATATACACATAAACTCTTTGTCAGATCAATAAAATTTTAAGTGTCTGTCACAGACCGGGTTCCCTGAGAAACAGAGTAAACTAGAGATGTGCACGTAACTACGTTATTGGAAGATGCTCTTGAGAGATACACCTGTGGGGAGCGAAGAGAGCAGGATTGGGCCGAGGGGTGCAAGTGGCGATGCAGTCCCCACACAGGCCTCCGCAGATTCCACAAAGAGCTCTGGAACTGGGAGAGGCCTGAAGAGTTATCTCAGTGTGAGGTAAGGAGGCAGGCAATTATTATCCTTCTTGCCCTCATTGATCATCATTGGCCAAGAGGTCTCCCAGGGAAGTGGGCATGACCTTCATCATGGTTGAGTCCCTCAACTAAGGCAGTTCCTTCCTGGAGAAGAATTTATCTGTGTTTTGTTAGCAGCTAGAATGAGTGTCTAGAAACTGAAGTGGGGTGGTAGTCTGGGCAACACACCACAGCCTCATAAGTGATTGTTCTTACGTTCAATTGTTCTCACTCTGGAGTGACTACTAGAGAGGTGACACATTCAAAACACACACACCATGGCCACTCTGCACATGCTGATGTCTCCGTTTGTAGAAATATCTAATCCTAAAGATTCCTCCACTTAACACAATTCACCCATCCCTCATTTAATCACAAATGCACTCGTGTCCTTCCTGAGCAGTAGGACCACTTTTGAGGTATATCCAGATAATATTCATTTCTTGTCAATAGCAAGTTCTCATTTCTGATAACCTCTGGGCAGACTGGTTAAATAAACTGAGGTATAACATCCATGGCTTCAGTAGTGAGGAATCTGCCTGCCGAGAAATGGGTTCGATCTCTAGGTTGAGAAGATTCCCCGAAGAAAGAAATAGCAATGCACTCCAGTATTCTTACCTGGGAAATCCCATGGACAGAGGAACACAGTGGTGGCTACTGTCCATGGGGGTCACAAAAAAGTCAGACACAACTTAGCAACTAAACAACACAATAATATCCATTATGTTAGAGATCACTTAAACTGAAGTTATGGCTGACAATATAAGAAAACAATGTGCACCGTATGATCTCATTTCTGGGGAAAGATATACATATGAAGCCTTTCAGAATGGCCACTAAAACAGGGTGTGTAGTTATCTCTGGACAGTGATGGGATTATGGCGTATTCAAATTTTTCTCCTCTTGCTTAAATGTATTTTCTGATCAACCCAATAAGCATGTTACTTCTGTAATAGGACAAAACAACTGTTTCTTCTCTGAAGGGCAGATACAGTTTGGGAAGAGCAGGCCTTATGACTATGTTAATCAAGTAGTGATTTGTTTAATCACCAGGGGAAGAAATTAGGAACAGGACTTTAAATGGAATTTGTATATTATACTGGCCACTTCAGAGCCCAGGAAATTTAGGGAAGGACAGGTCTGAGTAAAAGAAGAAGGTTTAGACTTGTGCTGTTCAAAACACTGACCATCAGCCACATGTGACTTTTGGGCACTTAAAATGTGGCTGGTTCAAACTGCAGTGTGCTTTAACTGTAAAGTACAAGATTTCAAAGCTTTAGTATTAAAAATGTAAAATATACCATTAATAATTTTAATACTACATCTTGAGATGATAATATTTTGGATATATTGTGTTAAACAATATACAATATTAAAAATAATTTCTCCTGTTTCTTTCTAGTCTAGACATTTGTCAGGAAACATGAGTTCTCTGAAATACTCCCCCAAAGTATGAACAATTTGAAAAAGCAATTGTCTCACAGGACACCCACTAACATTACAGTTTTACCTGGGGCTTTCCTAGGACCACCACCGAAAAGTGGGGGCACAAGAGCGGCTCATTTGGGCTGACAAAAGAGTACATCCAATGAGCCCTGTGTGCTGCAAGGCCATTAAATCCAACCACTTAGCTGTGTGTATGTCAGTCCATGTCACCGAAGTCTATCAGCTCAGAGAAAGTTAAGGAAACGACATGCTGTTGCAGACAGACATTAACATCTTCCCATGGGAAAAGCCCTCACGCCTGTCCTGGGACGCTGCACGGGAACTGCCCGTTGCACCTACATGCCAGATGTTGACTTGAGTTGAACTGAGCATGTGATGGAAGGATTCTGACCTATTCCCAAGGAAGAAGATTAGTAACTTGGGAAAAGTGCCTTTAAGGAAGAATGGTTTACTGTTAATGACATGTGCAGTTGTGTCTTTGATTAATTTATTCTTGGTTTTTAATGATCAGTGGCCAAAATTAAGATGCAGTCAGTGGTTACTCTATGTTAACAAGGAAAAGCACAAGCTAGTTTGTAACTCATACAGATCAATCCAAACCTAGGTAAACGCTTTTAGAATATTAGGTAATGTTTACAGAAATTTCAGAGAACACTAAATATATCTCAATTATCATTTCATCTTCTCAGCTATCTAGGAGGTATTCTTCTACCTGCAATAAACAAGAGTGTAAAGTGTAACTTGAGCTTGGAACTAATTCCAAAGGCCCAGTCAGTAGCAACTTAAAATGTTTTTTTTCTTTTTTGTGATGTGACATGCCAAGTCTTAGGTTTCCCCAACAAGGGATCGAATCTGTGTCTCCTGCATTGGAAGCATGAAGTCTTAATCACTGAACCTCCAGGGAAGCCCCAACAAATTTTTGTTAGAATAAGATACAACTAATAAGGTGATTGCTGCCTGAGTGGTGCTCCCCAAATCTCCCTTTATTCCAGGTTTCAGAAATTCCTCCTCACAGAGCACCATCTGATGCCTTACTAGATAGGCACTCAGTGAGCTGTAATCAGTTATTATTTAGCACCATGCTTCTCAAACTACTCCCTCTGGAGCTATGGAATTATGTACATTTTCTGTAAGTTTTATGAGAAAACTTTTCACATGTAATGGAACACACTCACACACACACAAACAAGCATTTTGGAAAAGCCAAAGAGGATCAATTTTGTATGGAGAAGACAGAAAATATTACAGTAAATAGTGGTATTTAACCTGGGACTTCCGAGATTCATGATATTAGCCAGGTTCAGCCACATGGCAAACAAAAGTGGGACATTATTCCTGTTGCTATGATTACTGTCAGCAGTATCCATTCTCATCAATTGAGAAGATGGCACAACTTCAGTGCTGGGACAGACAGGAATCATCATAGGAACCATATCAACTGTCCACCACATAAGCAACGAGAGATCACCTTTACACCTCTGCTTTTTAACAAGACTATTCAAATTTATTTGTTTCCCAAGGGAAACATGAAATTTCTCAATTTGGCCAGGGTCTTGCCTCATCCATGAAGCTTTCCCAGATTTACTAAAGAACAGTTGCTGCTTAAGGAAATTTAAAGGGCTATAAGATACTTTTCATTCTCCATAATACAAAGGATAAAACTTGGTTCAACTTAAGAGCAATTTTTTTCTCTTAAAATGCCAGATATTCTCTGCAATTAGCATTTCCCTTAAATATATTTTATTCAAATACTGTTAGCATAATCTGCCATGTCCCTCTGCCTTCTACTTTTAAAGTTCTGTGTGCTGTGAAGGGGGTCTTTTTTAAGAGAGATGACTGGAGTGCCTTGGTAAAAACTGAAAGTCTCTCTATATAGAAGTACAATCTGACATCTGTCTTGAGTCATACTTTCTGGTTCACAGTTGGAATGACACCGTGTGCATGTTTCAAGCTAGTTGCAGACAAACCAGCTTGAATAATCCCCTTCGTCACCACTTTGACTAGATGACAGAGACCCAACAAGGCTCTAAGGACGCAGTGCCCAATTTGAAAAAAAGACAGATTCTGGATCCACTGAGGTGGTTGGGCTTTCCACTTTGGATGGTAGCTAATATAATAATATTATCACTCTACTCACATTCAGCATCCCTGAGATAGAGGCATATTGGAAAGGAGAAAATATAATGGCCCCATGGGAAGCTATATACCATGAACATAGCTTTTGAGAGTAGCAGTGGTAAATTCACTGCAGCCAGCCCAGCCCAGGGTCAGTGGAGTTCAGGCATTTTCAAGATGAACCAATGGACTAAAAAACAAAAGCTCCCCACACTCCCTTGAATATTTTCTCAGAGTTAAGACTTTGGGCCTTGGTACAGTCTCAATAGTGAAGGGCCCTCCAATGGCTAATACATAACACTTATTGCTGCCCTTTGCAAGTGAGGGCTTCAAGTTATATGACATTTTTGTATACAAGTAATATGAAGAAATCCTTATCTAAAACATATAGTACTAAATATTAGTTTGTGTCATCTTTGAAAGATATTTCACACAAATAAATGCTTTGTCAGATCATATGTCATCAAAAGTCCACTTTATCACAATGCTCTAGTATCGCCTTGAAGTACATATGTTGTAAGATAACACAAATGTCGGGAAGGTTTCAATAAGTCATTTATACCTTAGTGCCAGGCATTCTATGGCACCATTTGTTTCGTGAGTGGAAATGCACAGTTTCAAGGAAACCTCACACAAAAGAACTCAAATATCCCACACTTAAAAGCACACTTGCCCTCTCACTGAGGAGACAGAGCAACGCAGGGGGTCCTTGTTCTCAGCGTCTCTAGTCTCTGGTTGGTGTCCATTCACCTTCCACATGAAAATCCTCCTGGAACGGGGCCTGTGGACCACAGGAGATTTGTTAATTTTGTTAATTTGTTAACAAATTTGTTAATTTGTTAATTAAAGCACACTTATATAAAAGATGAAAAAATCAGTGTGGTAGACAGAATTGTACTAAATGATCCCGTTTCTGAAAAAAAAAAAAAAATGTATATAGGGCACACACTGTGGGGATATCCAGTAAAATGTTGCCAGCAAGTTGACTCTGGATGGTTGCAGATAATTCCAATCTTTATCTCATTGCTTGTCGGTATTTTCTAGATTTACCAAAATGATGGTGTTCCACAGTAGAACCCTTGTCCCTTAAGAATTAGATACTTCTCTTGGGAGATGGACATGAAGCTACTTTAGACAATGAATGTGAGTAATATTTGATGATATTAGGATGGAGTTTTAAATATAGTCAGTGTAACAGGTGCCACTTCAGAACCCAGGAACTTGGGAAAGGACAGATCTGGGTAAAATAAAAAGGCTTTAGATAGATGGGAAAGTACATGAGTTCACTGAAAGCTCAAGAAAAAGTGAAAATGTTGAAGCTTGAAAATAATGTAGCTTTCCCTGATTCCTTTATAGGTCAAATGCTGGGCCCCTGACAGGCAGAGAGAGACCCATACTACTTAACTGCTGTAAATGTGAAGCCATACCACTAGGGGCTTGGTAAGAGAGCAATGCACTTATGCTGAAAGGGGAAAACCAAGAACCATGAGCCTGTGGGAGAACTGAATCAGGCCTGGCCCAGGACAGTGGATGGAAACCAGTCACAAGAGTGAATCAGCAGTGTGGACCTGTGTGGAACTCCCCATCAGACAGGTGCATCCTTGCCCGTTCCCTAGGAAGAAAACCAGTAGCCCTGGGGATGTACAAGGTATGAGGAATGAATCAACGTAGTTTATAATGAATGACATGTCGTTTTGATTTGGGTTATTTTGTTTGTTGACTTTTGAAAGTAGTGTCATAATTAACATGCAGTCAATGGTTACCCCAGAGAGGTTCCTCTAAAAACACACAAACTGGTTAAATTGATCCAAATGAAACCAAATAAGGGAGAAAGTACTTTGACTACCTCCAAATTTCAATTCTATTTTCAGGTAAGAAAAGGGTGGAAGCTTTTCTAGTTCGTAGTTTCTTTAATTTCATTCTTCTTATCTCTCTCTTTCTCCCTTTCTAAAATATTCTGACCTTCCTCACTCATAAGGTTTTGAATTCTTGAACAGATATTAAGTCCAGACTGAAATAAAGATTAATAAAACACTGTTTTGTTCTGCAAATTAAGATTGAATGCTGCTTAAAAACTACCATAAATCTTGTTAGTTCACTTTATTTAGTGCCAATGGAACTTTTCAGTCTTTGTGACAACCTAGAGGACCTGGAGAGGAAGATCAAATGGCAAAGGGAGGAAGCAGAGAAAGGAGAACTTAATGCACTGGGGAAATAGCACAATATAGAGTTAAGAGCCAGATTCTGTTTCCACCTGTATGAGCATCTTAGCTAAGTAGCTTAAACACAAGTAACCCCCTCAGCAACTCTACAAGGAAGCTGTTATTAACATCGTTATCATCCCCATTTTGTAGACAAGGAGACATGCTCAGAGAACAAAACCCATAACACAATACCTGGACTACAATTACTGCTACGCAAGTGTCCGTTTTAAATGCACTTAAAGTGAGTATTTTAACACCCAGCCGATCAAGACTATACCTGGTTTGTTTCCAAAGAAGCAAGTCTCAGACAGTGCTGTTTCTTAACCTGGGAGCCAGGTATTTCAATGTCTGAGAAATCAAGCATAGTTTCCATCAATTAATTTCCAGACTAACAATGAAATTGACCTTATCAGTTTCTTCTTCATGCCACATATTTAATAATCACACTTAAAAATTCCCAGTTTAAGAATTAGGATTACAGATGAGGAGAAGCTGCCACTCTTGGCTTAATTTAATCTAGGCCATATACAATATGTAAAAATGTAATACTCCTTGAAAAGTATTCTGTAACAATATTCTAGAATAGGAGATTTGCAAAGGTTTTTTTTGGCAAAGGGCCAGTAGATAATTTTGGTTTGGTGATCATATACATTTTTGTTGCTACTGAAGTTATCTTTTTTTTTTTTTACAACTATATAGCCAATTCTGTAATAATGTAAAAATTATTTTTAGTTCAGGTGGCCAGTCTAAAATTTTAGAATATAAGCTAAGAATAGTTTAAAAAAAAAAAAAGAATAAGTGACATTGTATGTAGCTTACAAAGCCTAAAATATTATCTGAAACATTAACTACAGAAAAAGTTTGCTGATTGCTAGAAAATCATAAAATAAGGGTATCACTATTAAAAAAGTAACCTTTTGCTCCTAATTTTTCTAGTCAATAGAGCTAGTTTATTTTTTCAAAATAACCACAATACATAATCATCTCAGAGGATGATAACCATTTGCCATTTGACAAAATCCAACATCCATTCTTGGCTTAAAATTCTCAGTGAATCAATAATGGAAGAGAACTTCCTTAATCTTATAAAGGACATCTAAGAAAATCTACAGCTATCATCATAATTTTAACAAGACTATACCTTGTCAGTATAAAATAGAATGCATTCCTCCTAAGTTCAGGAAAAAGAAAAACATGTTCCCTCTCACCATTTCTATTTAGCACTGGAGTTTCTAACTAGTACAATAAGGCAATAAAAGGAAAGACACCCAGAATGGAAAAGAAACAAAACTGTCTTTATTCATAGAAAACAGGAAAACATGATGAAGTCTTAAAAATAAAAAACCTACTAGAACTAGTAAGTTTGCCAAGTGAATTTGTAAGATGTAAGATCAATATGCAAAAATCAATTATATTTGTCAAAACCAGCAACAAACAATTGAGAAAACAATACTATTTACAAAAGCATTGAAAAATATGAACTACTTAGGATAAACCTGACAAAAGATGTACAAGATCTATAATTGAAACTGCAAAACATTGTGGAAAGAAATTAAAGAAGATCTAACAAATAAGTTTCCCTGGTAGCTCAAATGGTAAAGATTCTGCCTGCATTACAGAAGACCCATAGGGAGCTATTCCACAGTTCATAGTTCAGAAGACTCAATATTAAGACAGCAATTCTCTTAAAATTGAGCTATAGATTCAAAGTAACCCTCATAAAAATTCCAGAAAGCATTTTTTGAGAAACTGACGATAAGCTCATTCTAAAACTCACGTGGAAATGCAAAATGCAAAAGACCTAGGAGATTCAAAACAACTTTGAAGAAGTCAGAAGACCAATTATACTATCTGATTTTAAGACTTATTGTAAAGCTACTGTAGTAGTAATCAAAACAATATGATATTGGCACAAAGATGAACAAATTAATCAATGAAACACAATAGAAAGTTCAGAAACAGAAGCACACATATATTAACAAGTGATCTTTAACAAAGTTGCAAAGCAGTAGAGAAATGATCTTCTCAGTAAGTGGTGTTGGAACAACTGGATCCCCATATGCCAATAAAAAGTGAACTTTGAGTCGTATTTTTGAAGTACTTTATACAACTTTTTTTTTTTTACCATATACAAAAATTAACTCAAAATAGATCATTAACTCAAAATGTAAAATCTAAAACTATAAAACTTCTAGATGAAAGCAAAATAAAACCTTTGTGATCTTTAGTTAGGCTACAGTTTTTTTTAGATACTACTCCTAAAATACAATGTATATATATAAAAGACAAACTGATAAACTAGACTTAACCAAAATTGTAAATTTCTGCTCTTTAGAAGACACTGCTAAATGAAAAGACAAGAAACATACTGGGAGAAAACATCAGCTATATCTGTAAAAGGGTTTATATCTAGATTTTTTAAATTCCTGAAACTCAGTAATACGTGGAGAGGAGGACAACAGATTTGAACAGACACTTCAAAGAAAACAGAAAGTGAAAGTCGCTCAGTCGTGTCTGACTCTTTGCGACAACCATGAACTATATATATGGTCCATGGAATTCTCCAGGCCAGAGCACTGGGGTGGGTAGCCTTTCCCTTCTTCAAGGGATCTTCCCAACCCAGGGATCAAACCCAGGCTTCTCCCGCATTGCAGGCAGATTCGTTACCAGCTGAACCACAAGGGAAGCCCACTGAGCTACATAGAGGCCTGAAAACTAAGGTGGAGACAGCCTGGGAGTAACTGTGAGCTGTCAGAAACCTACCTGTTGCAGGGCAACAGGTGAGGGAGAGTGTGAGGGGCAGGCAAACCTGGAAACATATATCTGTGGGCATTTGGCCCTTAGTAATAGTAATAATGACGATGCTGTCGATAACTCACATTGCTTGCGTTTACTAGTGAGGCACCATGCATAGATCTACATGAATAGATTTCATTCCCACAATGAACTATGAAGTATGTATGTGAAGAGAAAACTAAGGTTCAGAAATAAAAGCCTAGATTTTCAAGCCCGGTAATTGCAGAGCAGTGGGGCCTCTGAGGCAGGTTAAACAAGGTAGTGGTTAACAGCATGGATTTTGGATTCTTTACCAGCTGAGCCACAAGGCAAGCCCTCAAAGAAAATGTGAATGGCAAATAACGGAAGATGTTCAACATCACCAGTCATTAGAGAACTGAAAATTTAAACCACAATGAGATATCTCAAAAACCATTCAAACGCTAAAATTAAAAGGATAATGTCAAGTGTTGGTAAGGATAGAATACTCATACGCTGTTAGTAAGAATGTAAAGTGGTACCATCAATCCAAAGAACAATTTGGTAGTTTCTTTGGCTGCTAAATATACACTTACTACATGATGAGACAGTCATCCTACATGCACAAATAGCCTCAAAAGCCAGTTAAAAAAGAAAGAAACAACCCACAAATAATGAACCCTATAGTGAATGTAAACTATAGACTTTAGTTAATAATTATGTATTGATAAAGAAATTTAAGAATATAAATATTTTATGCTTAAAATCCCTCATGTGGGAGTGGGAATTCCAATGCATCTTAAAAAAGTACAGTCTCGGGGTTCATCACTCCAAACAGCCTTGCCATTCCTTGACTTACTTGTAGCTTCAGATGTCTGTAGGGCAGCAGGTCCTAGAAATAGCTAACTGACGTGGAAAGTGGGAAGACTCCAGGCACTTGCTCCTGTGAAAGCTGGAAGAAGTTTTGAAAGTTCTGGGAGATGATGTGTTCTCCTGCTGAGGAACAGCTTGTGTTCTGGCAAGTCAGTCCCATGGAGAAAGTTGGAGGCTAAGCCTCTGGTGCATCAAAGTCTTTTATCCTTAAAGTAGCCCCCAGCTCTTCGACTGCCCAGACTACTCTGGCTCTTCACCTTAGCAGGTCCCCATTTCCACTTTTACGGAGGGTTGGTTTCCTGGATGCTCACCCAGACACTCCCTCTCTTTCCTCTTCCACAGAGCTTCGTTCATTTCGTCTTCAGTAGGGTTCCATCAAAGTCCAACTTCGGTCTCACTCTCCTAGAGAATTCAACTTAGAATTCAACCTTGAAAACATTCAAGGTCAAATCTCTTACTTCACAAATAAGGTAACAGACTCTATGAGGTCAGGTGACTTTCCTAGGGCCATATAAGTTAATAATTTGTTGTACACCTACCCTCACACTGTAGGCAATTGGATAATCTAATTGCTACCATGACAATATGTCCAAGATTTTCAGCCTTGATTTCAAAATATTCTGTATAGTCATCAGGTCACATTAAGAATTTGACTATCTAAAAAAACATTTCAAGTACTACTGCAGACATGTTAAAAGGGACCTTCTGGAAGCAATAAATTTCTGTTACTGAATCCAACTTTCCAATTCTGAAGTGCTGAATTTTAACATTTTTAGGTCAATGAATCCCCTCTTTAGGAAACATGAAAGCCATGAATCTTTTCTACCCAGAAATATTTACCTAAAAACATAAAATTTTGTTCCAGAGACAACTATGCAATACATGACAATGAAAATCTTTAATCTGATAGTAGAAATGTCAGCATATCTGCTATGTGGCAAGGGAATATTCTTAAAGAACTCTTATATCCTAACAAAAATTTGCAAATATTTATAAGGTATGACATATTATAGAGCACATTTAATCCTCACAACAACCCTGTGAGGTAGGTATAATATCCCAATTTTACCCATAAGGAAACCAAAACCCAATGCAATCTGAAGATGTGCCAAAATTCACAGAGCTAATAGTCTGCAGCCTGGACCAGAACATAGGCTTTTTGTCCCCTGTTCAAAACAGTTTCACAAATAATATTTCCCATTTTGGAATGAAGATTCTACCCAGGGAAAACTCATTGGCAACCCCTTTCAACAAGCAGTTATTTTTAAAACTGAACGTCAAGTCTAAGAGGACTATAAGAGACTGCAGATTGGCACCTATCGTGCTATTTATAGTTGTACTCTGTGTCATGGTCCAGGCACAGGTTGGAAAAGAATGTCCAGACTTGAGACAGAATGAGAGGGAAATAATTTATTAGACTGGGAGATACTGTTAGAACTGTGGGCAGCTCGAGAGAACGGACGTTGAACAGGGATCCTTAGTCCACTTTTATAGCCAGGGTACAAGGAGAGGGCAGGGGTCTTGCAGGTCATTTGCTGATAGGATGAGGCACGTATACTGGGTGGGGGAAGAGCAAGGCGAATACCTTCTCCCTGTGGGGGGTAGGATGGGACAGAGGTTATACTGCTCAGGAGGACCTGAAATCCGTTAATAGCTACAATATGGGGGAGGGAAGGACCATAAGGGTCTGGTTTCTCCGTTACTCCATTCCAAGACCCGCCTCGGTTTTATCGGTTCTTTAGTCCTTGGGTCACCACACGCTGCAAGCATTAATCCCAGGCAGGGTTACCAGAAAAATGTCATTAGAATTACAGGCTTTGGAGTCCAGACACTAAACACCATTTAAAGGAAAACAAAACCAGATGCCAGAAGTGGTAAGATACACAGGTTTTTGTTTTTTCCATAATTAGGAAATATTGGCCTTTTCCCAAAGACCAGCTTAGTTGTGAGAACAGCCAGTAACATCTTAGGGAAAGGCATAATGTATACCAAAAGGGAGCTATGAGAGCTAGAAAAAGATTTGGAAAAGTCATAGGAAGACAAAGATGTCAGGAAACTTGCTAAATGGCCAGAGAAACACCTCCAGTAGGGCAAAGCCAGGTGAGAAAACCCCTAATCAATTCATAAGTCAGAGATTCCAGAATCTCCATAAAGTCTCTGGTCACACCCTCAATGACCCAGAACTCCTCCCCTGGCTATCTGCTCAAAGAAATGAAGATGGGGAATCTCTTGTGACTTCGTGCCATTGTTGCTGGGCTGGGTCAGTAAAAACTAAATACTGTCCAAAGACTGTGGCAATTTTTTTGAAAGTTTTCAAAGGCCCATGTTAATGTAGCAAAATATGGTGGTGCTGCTCTTGTAGTGAAGACATCTATCCAGCTTAACATTCTGCCCATCATTACAGGACTTTGGTACACAAAACACTCTTCAAAATATTTGGTAAAATGACAGCAGTGCAGCTAATGTCCTTCATCTGACTTTGTGTCTATAGGTTAGAGTGTCCATCCACTCAGTACATTAGTTTCAGGGTCTTTTGGACTCTGGCCAGGGGACCTTGAGACCCTCTCTCAATTTGCTTCAACAGAAGGGAATACCTTCAAAACAGACCATGAAGGAAAGAGTTCCCAGATCCACTCAAAACCCACCAACCCTGTTGCCCGAAACTCAGTTACTTTTCATTGTCTGCTTTATAAAACTAAAAAGCTAGATACGTAGTAAACCTTTACTCTCTCAGAAGGCTATCGTTCTGGAAACTTTCTGTACACTCTCCCACCTGCAAGGATATGGAAGCTCTTAAATACCTTCATAAAAGTACCTCCCCCCAAAAGTCTCTCCCATCAAGGGGTGAGAACCTCGGCTCTTTCTGCTCTGTCCCACCACCCCCTCCCCAGTCTCAGCAAAGACTCTTAACAACCCTTAAATATTGGCGGTCTCTTCTACAAAAGAGGAGGGGGAGGTATTGTTCTCTGTTTTTTGGGCTTCCTGGACTTTAGGAACCCATAAATTGGATACCAAATTGTTCTTCAGATGATTATTTTTTTTGTTGTTGTTATTTTGGGATAAAGATGCTTCTTCATCCTTCTTTGTGCTTCCCAATTTTCTCACAACTTCTTTTTACTCTCTTTTGCACATAGCATGACAGCCAAGCAAGAGCCCAAGGTGCGTTGCTGCTGAACGACCTGCAACCTCACAGAAGTACTTCAGGGAAAGATGTGATCATCGACCCCTCTGGCGGTGCCTTGTGGGTGTGGCACCCAGACACAGGAAACATCCTATCCCTGACTCACTTCAGACCCCTGCCGGGTGCCTATAACAGTTCCCCAAGATACAACCCAAGGAGCAGCAGTGAGGAGAGTCTGAAGCCTTAGACCATACATATCAGCTGGTCTTCCACCCTGGGCCAATAACAATTAAAAGAGAAAACTTCAGGATCCATTCCAGGGGCAGAAGTCTTCATTTTCTTAGTCCCCTCCTTACCTATACATGGAAAAGGGAGTTCCTAGAAACCCACTTCTCACCCCACAATCCTACAGACAGCCTAGACATTATCTCCCCACTACATATGGCCTCTTGTGGAGCAGGGAAGGACTCTTGCTCATCTTCTATCCTCAGTACCTATTCAGGACTTGGCTTGTAGCCAACAAGCTCTACAGAAGGAAAAGAGAGAGGAGAGTAGCCAAGTAGAGACAGAGGGAAGGAGGTTTAGTTCTTCCTGTTTTGTCTGGGCGTTTCTTATGCTTCTGCCCTAGCTGACCCCCTCTTCCTAGCCTTTGCCCTTTCCTCAATATTCCTCTATCTTTCCTTTCACATAATCTCTAACCTGAATCAACTTTTCCTCCTAATTCCCCTCCCCCCAAGTTCTTCTCCTCTCTCTGCTGTTGTAGCCTAAATTCCCTAATGCTTTTATTCTCTACAATTTTCCTGGTTTTTCCTCTCCTTACTCTAGTTTTTTCGTCATTCATGGCCTCATTTATTTTTCCTTTATGGTAAGGATTGACAGACCTAAAGCAAGTGAGAAGAAAAAAAATCCTAAAAAGAGGAATACCTCAAAAATGATGAAAAATGAAGCAATAGCCAAGAAGAAGAGGCCCACAAAAGCAAGGCCCAAGGGTTCAGTAAATAGAAATCATTCTTTCCCCTCTGCCTTTGTCTTATCACAAAGAACAAGACATTTCCATTCATGTATTTTCTAACCTATTCTCTGGCTTGTTCAAAGTTACCCCAAAAACTCTTCTAGTTACCATCAACCTAGGAACTGATGCTTTCAGGGGTATGTCTCCTCATTCAACACGAGGATACCTGGTGCTTTTTCTGCACACTGCTCCAAAGAGGCAGCTTGAGGCCCTGTTCTGAGTGACAGCAAAGGCCCCAGCTAGCATCCTAAGGCTGCAGCAGAGCCCTGGGAGGGCTCAGCACCACTGATATGCATCTCACATCCCTCCCTGTTTTCTGATCGTAATGCAAACTCCCTCAGGGCTGATGCCTCTGCAAACTCCCTCATCCCCATTCTAATCTGGGTTCCAAAAGTGTCTGGCCTCATCAGATGATCTCACAGCTGGAGGAAGGGACAAGACTTACGATCCTTACCAATTCAACCCCAGGTTCCCACCAGAATCCAACACTCTTTCCCACTTTGTCTAGTTTAACCGCATAGAGGGCAGGTTTTCAGTGGGGGGACGACAGCACAGGTTAACTTTAGGCACTTTGCTGATACAAACATGGAGGGCAGAGCTAAGAGATCAAAACAGCAAATTACCAAAAAAGATTTTCCCAGTTTAGAAAATGGCTGACATCATACATCCATCCAGGGTCCTTTCTGTTAGGCAGAAGATGTAAGCAGACCATGGAGATGCCATTTATACTGACAAAATGCCCAACGAATATCATATGTCCCCTTCTCCACCAGACTCCTGCTACTCTGACACCCACTTGCCAGACCTTGAATGCTAAATGGCATTCAATCTCAGGATTGGATCCCAAACTCTTAACAGCCCTTAAAATTGCATTTGACTGCCATTCTCTCTGCAATATTGATTCTATCTTCCAGGCCCAGTTACAGAGACAGGGTAATAATAATTCAGGAGAAAGGAAGAATTAGTCTTGCTGTTAAGCCCACATGTGTCTCTTAGGTCAGGAACAACTATCAGCAGTGATGTGCCATCCTCTTTTCCTTTGGGTCCCTGAGGACTGCAGTTAAGTCTTTTCTAATGACTATGACCATGGATGTGAACAGTCCCTATACTGGCTTAACCTATTTTAAAACAAGTTCTAAGAGCGGCCCCACCACAGGACCTTAAAGGCAGCCTTTCTCACTACCCCAGGTATTATCTATTTTACTTCCCCAGTTCTGGTTTCTGGGAAAAACACCCATCCCCAACCCCACAATGCCCAGCAACTCTGGTGAGCCCACATCCAGATCCAGTCTAATATCATTTCAGGACTCCAAGTGCAGGACCACCACAAATTTTGCCTCATCAACAAACTTCAGAGCCTTAATGCAGCTCACATATCCCGCTTAACCTATAAGCCAGAATGTCTGCCTTAAGACACCAAACTCTTCCTCCCATTAGGGAGGGAACCCACTGGAGGGCAATAGTCTTTTGTCTCATCCCCTGAACCTAACAGCATGCTTAACTGTTAACCCTAACCCTAACCAAGTGACTTCTCCAATGACATCAAAAGTCATTTGGGGAATTCCTCATATCTAGTAAGAAGGGGAAGAGAGGTTAAACTATTTTATCCTAAGAGATGAAGAAGGAGAGGACTTTGATAGGGAAAAGAAAGGAACGAAAGAAAATAGAGATGGCCTGAATGACGGGAACCCCTAGGCTTGTCTCGTGGGGACAGGAATCTGGGTACAGAGGCCGAGTCCATGAAACCCTATCTGGGTGGAGGTTTCACTAAACTGATGGCAATGATCCCATCAGTCACTCATAGCAGAAGGCATGTCTGCTCCCCCCTTGGAATCAGAAAACTTGGCTAAAACTCCTCAACCTTGAGCTAAAGAGAAGTCATCAGCTCATACTCTGTATTTATGGGTGTAACTACAAATTTTACCCAATTTAACATCCACCATATAACCCCCTGCCCAGGACAAGGTTTGAAATGTTCCAGCGGTTCCCCCAAGGCCACCCCATAGGCTGGTTGCATTATATAAGGCTTGCGCAGCTCCAACACAATCATCCTAGAGGAAGAATTCTTTTCCTAAGGCCACGGTCACCACAAGAATATATGGCTCTGCTACAGTTCAAGGCCTGGGCAACAGTTTAGCTCTTCGAGTCTCCGGCCTCCACAGCCTCTCGACTGGCGAGCCTGCTGCTGCCTTGAGGGCGTGTGGCCAACCTTGAAGCCCGCAGTGAGCTTAACGGAAAGAAGGCTGAGGAGGGGCTCGGCCAACGCCTTTCAACGACAGCCCGGCCCCTCGCGCCCTTCCCAGCCCTCGCCCCGCCCCGGAGTCTCCCGGGTGACTGGGCGGGGGCGCGGCTGGGGTGCAGGCTTCTCAGAGCTTCCCTGCAGGGATCTGACCAATGACCGGGCTGAGGTCCAGGTGAGCGGTCCGTGGACTCTCCTGGGCAGCCCCGCCTCCTTTCACTCCTGTGACCTTGGAGTTCTGGGCACGAGCCCTACACCACGCGCCGAGACGTTGGGGATGTCACATGGACGCTCTGGGCTGGTCGCAGGCTGGGAGTTCTGTTCCTCTTCTCGTGGCTGTCTGCCCATCGCCCCCCACAGCAACGAGACCTCACGTGGGCCCTCTGGATGCCAGATTAGCAGCTCTACACTGCACCTGGGGAGGCAGACCAGTATGCCTTCTCCTTGAGCCCTTTTGGTCTCGTTTTTTTAACTTGATGGGTTGAACAGTCTTTGACTATTCTGGATCATGGGGGCAGGGCATGGGCCCCTTTCTCACCTCCTAATCCTCCCCAGAGATGAAGCCATTTCTCCTTTTCCCTGCTCTACTCCATTCTGAGGCCGGCGTTTAAGCCTCTTCCCTGCCCTTTTGCCCAGCCGGCCCTCTGGCTCTCATCTGCAGGTAAGAGGGCTCTGGCTGAGCAAAGATGGTCATACAGTCCCTTGTTCTGAAACATCTGAGGCATCTGTGCTCCTGTCACTCCCATGTTCCTGGCGTCTCCTGGGTCTTTTTGGCATTTTCTATGTCCTTTCATCACCCTCTCCTGGATCTCAGTTACTCACATGTCCTTTACCTGGCTACCCTTCAGATCCGAAAGTCTTCTGCTCATGGCAAGCACGACCTGTATGTCTTTTGTGCTTGGCTTATTAAACTCAGGTATTTAAAGAATACCATTTTGAAAACCATTTTTAATTGAGCATTACCTGTTGATAACAGGTTTAATAAACATCACCTATATTATCTAAATTATAAAGTTATTGTGGCAGAGTCTTTTGAACAACAATGGGTTAAACAGCTAACACAACTTCTTACAAAAACTGTAGGCTTTATAACCTCCCACCTCCACAAAGGCAACAATTAAGCTTTGCTTCATAGGCCTATTCTTTCCCAGGGCAGATGGAGAGAGATTTGCTATAATGGGAACAGTGGTTATTTAGTAGTGATGAGATGAATGCTTTCCATTTTCCTTTTATCTGTGTTTTCTACAATGCAAATATATTTTAAAAGACTTTTTAAGAGATATAAAGAGACTGTGGGAACAGGGAACCAAGCCCTTTGACAACCTGATCAAGAGACACCTGTTTGCTCTTGCGGGGAACTTCCTCTAATACTCAGGCCTTCCCCACACAGTATGGTTCTAACAGAAAGAGGAGGCAAGAGCAGCTTAGGGCAGGGGACGAGGAACTGGTATGGAAACGGTTAGTGGGGATTGACCATGGTTTGGGGCCGAGGGACCTGAGTAATTAATTATACCTTCCCCTAAGATAAGGACCAGAGGACGACCCACACTGTATACTTGTGAATTGGGAGCAGACTGCCCTGTCACCAAGGGATCTCCTGTATCTTATTTATTCAGTCCTTGGGTAGCTTCCCCATTCACTGGTAAGTGTAAGGCCAGATTCCGAATTATGGCTACCAGAGTATTCAAAACAATTTGAGAGAGTCTAGAGGTTAGGACTTGGGCTTTGAAACTGGACAGGGCCAGCTTTCATCTAGGCTTTCCACATGGGGGAGGTGTGCTACCTTGGGCAGGCCATCCAATCAGACACTCTGGTTTTTCATCTCTAAATGAGTGTTGACAGTGCTTGTTGTCAGGATTTTCATACTTCACAGTGCCCGTCAGGTAGTCCATGCTTAGATGAGAATTAGTAGCCTTTTTCCTGCTTCCCTACCACCAAAGGAGCCACAGCCTCCTTTAGCGTGCACCTTATTCTCGTCTGTATGCCCAACACTCTATGAGAACCCAGTATTAGATAGTGGAGCTGAGATTGCAGACCCTGAGAAAGCGTACCCCCGACCCTCACTGTCTTTTAGGGTGTGCTGGGGTCTAGGATCCTGGGTCTTTGGAATAATCTGACCAGAGCTGGAAAGTCTACCTTCCCCATGGGGAATGAAGAGTCTCACCCAGGCTCTGAACCAACCTCTTAAATATGCAGTGCCCAGCTGAGGGCCAAGGGTAGGAGGGGCCTGCCCACTCCCAATCTGAGGCTGACTGACCACCCCAGACCTTCCATGTTCCCTGAAAAGCAACACTTCAGTCACAAGACCCCAGGATACTGTCCTCTCCTCCCCGGTTAAAAGCACATCCTCCATAGCAGGAAAGCCCCTGTCATAGAATTCAGTCTTCCTGCAGTCCCGCCTCCCCAGCAGGGCCTCTTCCTTTACCTTATGGGCCCCTCCCTGAGCCGTGATCCCCAGGAGCACTCTTCCCCTTCACGCCTTACCCTCCTCCCTGTGAGCACCGGAGCTGAAGCCCCCAGCATTCCTGCTGCCCAGCGCCACAGCTGGCTTTGGTGTGGGGAGCTTCCATACCTGCTCTGCAGACAGAGGGGCCCCATAGCTTCCCTTCAGCACACTTCCGCACTTCCTGGAGCAGCCTCTTTATCTCCTTCTCCCACATCAGTCCCCAAAGGGGTCTGAGGTCAGGTGCATCAAGTCTTGAGAGAGACATCTCCAGCTTTAAAAGTAAGACTTTTGGCATGTTGGTAACTGGGAACTGTCAGATCTAGTCTGTCCATAGAGACAGAGTTGGATGGGGGCTCCTGGAGTCCCGTTCCCAGGTCTGAGCCCACTTTGCTTACCTGCCCTGCCCCTCCCTCCTCAGCCAAATATGACTGGGCAAAGTCCTCTCTCTGTGACAACATATATAGAATTTGTGGAGGGAGTGGAGGAAAATTTGTATCTTTTTATTTCCCAGAAAAGAAACATGCATTTGATCATGTCAGAAAGTGGGAGGAAATGACAAAATGGATAAACACTGTAGAATTTCTAAATTAGCCAGGAGAAAGTAAAAAATAAGGAAAGCAAAAAAAAGAAAAAGAGAGGAGAAGGGGATACCCTTGGTAAATGGTGAACTTAAAGTAGAATGAAAGGAATAAAAGGGAGACTAACAATATAGTTATTATGAAATGTAAATGGGCTGAGTTTCCCTGTTGAAAGACAGTATGCATTGAGTTAAAAAAAAAAAACCGTTATATGCTGTTGAACAAGAAATACACTTAAAATGCTTTCAAAAGGCTTGAAAATTTTAAAGAATGGTCAAATGAAAATATATAAACGAGAAAGCGTAAATTGTATCACTAAGAAGCTAGGCTGAATAAATTATGTCACAAACTTATTTACACCTAGGGATACAGCTACTAAGTGTATCAAGCAAAAACTACTAGCCATGCAATGAGAACTTGATTTCTTTAAATATTTGTTATGATGGAAGATAAGAATTCGATTGTTTATTGTTCCAAAAGCAGATAAGATGATCTTAGAATTCATGTGGGAGAGTAAATGTCCAAAATAGCTAAGAAAATCACATAAAGGAAGACAACTGAGGAATTTCACGAGATGTGGCATATTTTATGAGATGTAGCATAAGTTTCTCAAGAAAGCTCCTGAATGCCTGGGCTTGGGGCACAGAAAGGTCTGTGGAAGGACTCAGGCGGGGCGCTGCTGTGGAGAGGGTGACTCTGAGCAGATCAGCTGAGGATGCCACCATCAGGAGGGAGACCAGGGTAGAGCGCACCCTGCTGGGTGCTCTGATGGAGGGTGAGACCAGCAACAGGACATGTAAAATCTGCTATGGCTCAGATTTCCCTCTCTAGGATTGGGGAACATGCAGAGAAATGTGAATTGACTAACCAGTGTTTGAATATTCATTCAAGAAACAGATAATACAGGCAGGATACTGGCGATGATGTAGTTTTCCTTTGGCGGCAGCTACTGGACAAGACATTTTCCTTTAAGAGCATATGTAAATTTCATGGCTCAGATTTAAAGGTGTTGGAACTGAAAGAGACATCTCCAGCTTTAAAAGTAAGACTTTTGGCATGTTGGTAACTGGGAACTGTCAGATCTAGTCTGTCCATAGAGACAGAGTTGGATGGGGGCTCCTGGAGTCCCGTTCCCAGGTCTGAGCCCACTTTGCTTACCTGCCCTGCCCCTCCCTCCTCAGCCAAATATGACTGGGCAAAGTCCTCTCTCTGTGACAACATATATAGAATTTGTGGAGGGAGTGGAGGAAAATTTGTATCTTTTTATTTCCCAGAAAAGAAACATGCATTTGATCATGTCAGAAAGTGGGAGGAAATGACAAAATGGATAAACACTGTAGAATTTCTAAATTAGCCAGGAGAAAGTAAAAAATAAGGAAAGCAAAAAAAAGAAAAAGAGAGGAGAAGGGGATACCCTTGGTAAATGGTGAACTTAAAGTAGAATGAAAGGAATAAAAGGGAGACTAACAATATAGTTATTATGAAATGTAAATGGGCTGAGTTTCCCTGTTGAAAGACAGTATGCATTGAGTTAAAAAAAAAAACCGTTATATGCTGTTGAACAAGAAATACACTTAAAATGCTTTCAAAAGGCTTGAAAATTTTAAAGAATGGTCAAATGAAAATATATAAACGAGAAAGCGTAAATTGTATCACTAAGAAGCTAGGCTGAATAAATTATGTCACAAACTTATTTACACCTAGGGATACAGCTACTAAGTGTATCAAGCAAAAACTACTAGCCATGCAATGAGAACTTGATTTCTTTAAATATTTGTTATGATGGAAGATAAGAATTCGATTGTTTATTGTTCCAAAAGCAGATAAGATGATCTTAGAATTCATGTGGGAGAGTAAATGTCCAAAATAGCTAAGAAAATCACATAAAGGAAGACAACTGAGGAATTTCACGAGATGTGGCATATTTTATGAGATGTAGCATAAGTTTCTCAAGAAAGCTCCTGAATGCCTGGGCTTGGGGCACAGAAAGGTCTGTGGAAGGACTCAGGCGGGGCGCTGCTGTGGAGAGGGTGACTCTGAGCAGATCAGCTGAGGATGCCACCATCAGGAGGGAGACCAGGGTAGAGCGCACCCTGCTGGGTGCTCTGATGGAGGGTGAGACCAGCAACAGGACATGTAAAATCTGCTATGGCTCAGATTTCCCTCTCTAGGATTGGGGAACATGCAGAGAAATGTGAATTGACTAACCAGTGTTTGAATATTCATTCAAGAAACAGATACTACAGGCAGGATACTGGCGATGATGTAGTTTTCCTTTGGCGGCAGCTACTGGACAAGACATTTTCCTTTAAGAGCATATGTAAATTTCATGGCTCAGATTTAAAGGTGTTGGAACTGACTGGGTCCTCTCAAAACCCAGTTTATGGCCCAAATTCACAGTTTCTCAGTTATGTATAGATATATGTATAAACATATATATATTATGAAAGAAACATCTATGTAGAAGATCTATCTATAGCTAGATAATCTGTACATAGGTATATACACACATGTACATACACATGTATATACATGTATATATGTCAATGAAACATTTCCACAAATGTTTTTTCAGGGCATTGGAAGAAGGAGGAAAAAACTAAGATATGAAAAAAAAAAAAACCAAGATATGGTGCCTCCCTTAGAGAAAAGCACACTATTGTTAGAGCAGTGGGGAAGGCTTACTGATAAATGTGATTGGTTTCACCTAAGTTTCCTACCTAGAAGTGGAGCCACCGACATGGTTACTAGAAGGACTCCACAAAACCTCCACCTAACCTTTCTTCCATGATTAATTTAAAAAAAAAAAAAAAAAGTAGAGATTGACTTGAGAAGTCAGAAGAAACACCCCCCAAGGAACCAAAGCCTCTTAAGACGTGGAGGAGGATGCAGATAGTATTTGGGCTTGTAGAATCCCAGATCAGCAGAAATGAGCCACTGTTTCAGAGAATGATGTGGTAAGAGAACAGTTGGTAGGGAAGCATGTCAGAAGCAGCCTTTTTTCTGAAGTGAAAGTCAGTCATGTCCGACTCTTTGCAACCCCATGGACTATACAATCCATGGAATTCTCTAGGCCAGAATACTGGGCTGGGTAGCCATTCCCTTTTCCAGGGGATCTTCCCAACCCAGGGATTGAACCTAGGTCTCCTGCATTGCAGGCGGACTCTTTACCACCTGAGCCACCAGGGAAGCCCAAGAACTGGAGACTTTTTTTTTTATTCCATTAAAAGGAAGTAAGTCTGGAAGTAAATCTTTGCCCTCAAAGAGCTAAGTCTAATGGGGAGACATATAAGAAAAAAGGCAAGTACAGTAGACGTAACTGTTGCTTTAACAGTAGAAAGACAGGGTGGAAGCCCACCTTAGACACCTGGGTAGTCATTGATTGCCTCCTGGAGGAAGCAGTGTTTGAGGCTAGAAAAATGAGTGGGAGTGGCTGAATATGGGTTCAGGGTGGCAAATTGTTTCTAGCAAAGGGAATGGTACCTCCAAAGGCTAGAGCGAAGAGCCAAGGTGCTTATGGTTACAGCATCATGTTGGAGGGCATAAGTGGCCAAGGCCTTTAAACCATGTTAAAAGAGAATAGGAGTATCTTTTTCAAAATAAATAAATCTTAGTGAGCTCTTGTTCCACTCTGGGCTCACCTGACCGAAAGAAAAATATCAGCATTAAAAAATAGACACACACAAAGCAGACACAGACATAACTTCAGCAAGACATATGCAGAAAAAGTAAGCTGAGGAAAAATATTCCAGAGATGAACATGTGTCAGGAGAAGGGGAACATGCAGGAAAAACAGATAAAGCAATGAAAAAATGGAAATGGGTGATGGGGGTGGGAGGAGCCACAGGCCAGGAGAGTAATAGCAGAGGAGACTGAGTGATCAAAAAGCAGGAGGGGAGGGTGGGAGAGAGCAGGTTCCCCCAAGAACATGGAGCAGATTTAGACACTGGAGCTCAGATCCTACTGACCATACACAGGATCTCTCTGATCTTGCAAGGAGTCTCTCTTGCCAAATCAGACCTCCTCTTCAGTTCTCTCAGCTCAAAGGAAAAAGGAAAAAGATGTTTGCAAGTCCTCGAGGTTGGGGAGAAGGTAGCAAAGCAAAGACCAGGTTAGAAGGGGTTGACTGAATGGGAAAAGTCAGACAAATGTTGTCCCAGGAGGACTACAGCAACCAAAAGTGGTGTTCTGCTAAACGAATAAAATGGAGGGGAAATTGAAAGGAAGAAAACACTGTTGGAAAAGAAATCTTGTCAGAGAAATTCCCAGTCACCATGGAAAGACGCAGGCACTAGAGGTCAGAGGCTACAGCTAGACTATCAGAGTTCAAGTCCTGCTATTATACCAACTGTGTAACATTGGGCCAGTTACTTGAAATCTCTGTGTTTCATTTTCCTCAACTATAAAGTAAGAATGAAATAATAATTAGTACTGACCTCAGCGTGATGTAGGACAGGTAAGATGAGTTCAGTATAAGCAGAATGCTCTGTGTAGTTAGATGTTACACATCTATCAATGCTGGCTGCCATTATTCCTCTGTCCAGTGATAGTGCTGGCACCCATGTGATGTCATATACTTTCAAAGTCCCATCAAGGCTCTTCTGGTCTACTGGAGGGATGCAGTGAGGAGATAAACAAGGAGCAAGAAGGGGGTATCTTGGATTTAGGAGGATATTTAGAACGGAGAGATGACCCATCACTCCCCTGAAAGCCTGCTATGCCAATTGGGCTCTGGGAGCCTCTCTGGGAGCATGTCTGTTGTACACATCACTTCTAGTACTTATTTGGATCTTGTTTGGATCTTGTTTTCAGGGTTGGCCTGAGGGCCAGCTATTCAAAAGGGAAGTCTATTGGCAGTCTTTTCATACCCATCCAAGCCCCCTCTTCCTCTCAGTGGCCTAGTACTGCCTGGTTCTCTACCTTTCAAATCTCAAAACCTGTTCTTGCTTATATCTCTTTTGAAGGGGATCTGATTGCTCAATGGAGGGTTGTAAAAATGTCTGATGGAAGCTGGACATCTGGGGATTTTATTGGGGGTCAGTTCCTTGAAGAGAGATGTGAAGCTGGCTGGAATCTCACTATTGTGGAAGGAAGGTTCTGACTGAGGAAGGCTCTTAAAAATGGGAGAGGCTTAATTCCATTCCTGGTGTTTTTCATTAGAGACTATATTCCTCTTTTGTTGTGGCTCATGGGATCTATTCCCTGTAACACATATGAAAATGTGATGGAAAGTGTGGCTACTAGACCAACAAAGATTGGGGTAGGACTGGGGTTTGGGCTTATGGCCTTTACAGGTTTTTGCTCTTCGAAGAGCCTGACCATTGCCCCAGTGCACAAAGAAGTGCCAGAGAGGGCCTGAGAACTGTAGCTGGTGTGGTAATGATAGATTTATTCAGTCTCCTAGTGCCATTCCAAGGAGGTGTTTATAAAGTTTTTGAAAGAGCGTGGAACAGAACTGCTACCAGAGACTCTGTAAGGAGCTGGTCCCCAGCCTTGGAGCTGAAAGATTGTCCCTGAGCTGTTGAGCTTGGAAGGGAACCAAGGTTATACAGAACCAAGATGATACAAGATGTGTATAATACAAAGAAAACTACAAAACATTCCTGAAAGAAATTAAAGAAGTTATCTAAAATGAAAAGACAAGACACCTAATTTTCATGAATTGAAAGACTTGAAACTGTTAAGGTAGTGATAATACCAAAACCAATCCACAGATTCCATGCAGTCATGATTTAAAAACAAAACAAAACCAAAGATCTTTTAGAAAAAATTGAAAAAAAAATCATTCTAAAATTTATATGGAATGGAAAGGGGACCAAAAAAAAAAAGAGAAAAAAATTCTTGAAATAGAAGAACAGAGTTGGAGGACCCACATTTACTTCCTTGTTTCAAAATTTACTACAAAGTTACAATAAAACAATGTGATACTAGAATAAGATTGACATGCAGATCAATAAAATAGAATTAAGATTCCAGAAATATAAATTGAATGTTAATTGATTTTTGACAAGGATGCTAAGACTATTCAATGAAGAAAGAATAGCCCTGTCAACAAATGGTGCAGGAACAACTGGATAGCCACATGCAAAAGAATGGTGTTGGATCTTACCTCACATTTTATGCAAAAATTAATTCAAAATGAACTAAATATAAGAACTAAAACTATAAAACTCTTAACAGAAAATATAGGGGGTAAATCTTTGTGACATTGGATTTAGCAATGGTTCCTTAGATATAATACCAAAAACACAAATAATTTTCAAAAAATAGATAAATTAGACTTCATCAGAATTAAAATTTTTGTGAAGATCAATGAAACTAAAACTGGTTCTTTGAAAGATAAACAAAATTTATAAACTTTTAGCCAGAATCATAGACTCATAAAGAAGCAAGGGGAAAGGGTCCAAATAAATAAAATCAGAAATGAAAAAGAAGTTGCAGCCAACACCACAGAAAGACAAAGTGCCATAGAAGAGGACTTCCTTGGCAGTCCAGTGGTTAAGACTCTGCATTTCCACTACAGGGGGTGTGGTTTTGATCCCTGATTGAAGAAGTTCTGCAAGCTATGGGGTGTGGCCAAAAAAAAAGGTATGATTCAAATTAAAAAAAAAAAACTAAAAGGACCATAAGAATCTCTACAAGCAACTATATGCCAATGAAATGGACAACCTAGAAGAAATGCATAAATTTTTGGAAAGGTAAAATCTCCTAAGACTGAACTGGGAAAAAATGGAAAATATGATCAGACCAGTTATAAATACTGAAATTGAATCTGTGCTTTAATAACTCCCAACAAACAAAAGTCCAGAACCAGATGGCTTTACAAGTGAATTTTACCAAACATTTAGAGAGATTTAATACCTATTCTTCTGAAACTATTCCAAAAAACTTGAGAATAAAGGACACCTCTGAATTCATTATATGAGGCCACCATCAGCCTGGTACCAAAACCAAAGATTTTTTGTTTTTGCTGTTTAGTCATTAAGCCATGTCTGACTCTTTGTGACCCCATGGATTGTAACCTGCCAGGCTTCTCTGTCCATGGAATTTCCCCAGCAAGAATTCAGAAGTGAGTTGCCATTTCGTTTTCCAGGGGTGGTCCTGACCGAGGGATCANGCGTGGGCCCACTTATATGCAGATTTTTAAAGTAAATATTAATACATCCTACAGTTTGTTGAATCTGTAGATGTGGAACCACTAATGAGGAGGGTCCCTAGGGCTGCAAGGAGATCCAACCAGTCAATCCTAAAGGAATTAGTCCTGAATATTCATTGGAGGGACTGATGCTGAAGCTGAAACTCCAATACTTTGGCCACTTGATGCGAAGAACTGAATTTTCTTACACATTAAACAAAACCCACTCCCTATCCACCACCCAATCATCTTTGCCTTCTTCGCCTGTAGCAGTCATGAAATTCTGGGCATTTTCCTGATAACCTTGCTGCTACTGCTAAGTCACTTCAGTCGTGTCTGACTCTGTGCCACCCCATTCCTGGGATCTCCAGGCAAGAACACTGGAGTGGGGTGCCATTTCCTTCTCCAATGCATAAGAGTGAAGAGTGAAAGTAAAGTCGCTTAGTCATGTCTGACTCTTGGCAACCCCATGGACTGCAGCCCACCAGGCTCCTCTGTCCATGGGATTTTCCAGGCAAGAGTACTGGAGTGAAGTGCCATTGCCTTCTCCGAATACTATACATAGAAAATACTAAAATCCTACTAGATCTCACCAATGAATTTGGTACAGTTGCAGGATACAAAATTACTACATAGAAATCTGCATTTATATACACTAACAACAAAAGATTAGAAAGAGATACTAAGGAAACAATC